ATATATAACAGCAGTCCACACCATCCATAAAAACATATTTCAAACTATTAAAGAAGAATATCATTCATTCAAAATGATTCATTACTGAACAGATCCACCTATCAGTGAGTACTGAAACAAAAACATATTCAAATATTACGTGTCCATTCTGTGGATGCTGAAGGAACCAGGGTTTATTTATCTGGAAAGCGGATATGGGAAATGCCAATAAGATGGAAGTGGATAGAGTGTGAAAACAGTAGCTGATATGGCAATTCGAGAAGACAAATAGTTGATTCATAATGCTGGCGATTTGTTTGCCTGGGCAAAACTTACTGAAGTAAATTTTAAAGAAATACAGTTTTTGTCTTACAGATACTAAAGCTGATGTTTTTAAACAAAAAGGCACACCGCTATCCAACATTGTTACATTTAAGCCGCACGCAGTTCTTCATACTTGTCTGACTACACTAATAACACGAGGAGGATCATATTACTGCAATAGTTGCAATGCAGATGTAAGAAGAAGGCGGCATCGATGGATAGAACATAACATGCCAAGTATTGATATAAATGCTGTTCTGTAAGAGGCCATTGAAGACGCCAATGAAAGTAGTGAAACTCTGAATGATACAAATGATCAGGAAGGATTTCAGCTTGGATTCGCCAATGAAACGTTGGTAACAGCTATGGATATAAGTTGTTTCTCGATCAAAGTGTATATGATAGAGAGGTAAAGGTGGACGTTCATGAAGAAGCCAGAAAATACGGAAGGGTAGCAAAGTGGCCACAAACAAAGGATCGGGATTGTATTGGATTGTTAACAAAAACAGTATTTCACCATTTTTGAAACAGAACTCTCTTCGGTCGATTTCAATTTATTTGAAACGAATTTTCCAAATTTGAGGGAACTTTTCAGTGTGCTTCATGTGTATTAAATTAAACAATGTACACGAAAAGAGAACATTTGTGTTTATAGTTGTTCTACCAATATGTTATCAAAACAAAACTACATATTTTGAAAATACATTCACCAACCACTAGTTTTACTATGGTGGTATCAATGAAAATCCGTACAGAACAATAATGTCAGGCCCTAGTAAAAGAATCATTAATTAACTGCAGTGCAACGAAATATAAAAGTTCTTTTTACGTGGCCTTTCAATGCTCAACTTTGAATAAAAGGAACTAATGGACTCAGCTCTGTTTTGAAGGACGCGTCCAACGACAATGAGAACACAAAAGTTGCTGAACAAGTCCAATCAGTATTCTGTTATACAGCGCTTATGTGTGACGGACAAACTGAACCACCAAGCCTTTATTTTGCCCAGATCCTAGCGGTGCAGCCTTGGTTGAGGTGCTTCTTAACATATTGAAGTTATAGCTAAATTTATTTGCTATCATCCCTATTCACCAGCTGTCATGATTATGGTCGGTGATAACATTCGTTAATTCTCTGTAGTCACTCATTGCTGGATCTGTGAAGAAGCTTTTACTTCCACCGGTGCAAACGCCCGTGACCACCGTCACATCACTGGCGCGTACAGAGAAAACGCACACAACTCATGTAATTTACTGTTTAGAATTCGCCCAAACATACAAAAATGATCTTTAGACTGCGCCAGCTGAATTCGTCCTTGGACAAGTTAGTGAGCAGCCTAACATCGGAGAACTACGCAATCACTCGCCGTCAATACTGTCTCCAGGGCGCTAATGCCCCAAATATTGACTTGTTGACGAAAATAGGTGTGTATCCATACCAGTTCAGGAGTGACTGGAACAAATTTGCTGAAGTCAGTTACTGAGCTAAGGATTTTATTCATCGCTGTCACATGAAGGTATCTTATAAAAAGATTACGAGCACGCAGACCACGTTTGATCCGCATCCGAGTGCAAACACATAGGTAAGGATAAGATACGATTCAAAGATTATGGTGTCAGGTATCCGTAACTGATTTCGCCTTTACATTAACAAACATACTTTCACTTTTAATCAACTCAGACTTGGTAGTCCACTATTAATTAAAATGTTTGGAAAAGTGACCACTTCCCTATTCAGCTAATATTAAAAACCGAAGCCATTTCAAATCACTATTTCACAACATTATTATCAATATCACACATGATTCCGTGTAGCACTAAGTATACACAGTCATAAAATAGTAGCTTTATATCAACTGGATGTTTTACCAGCTTGATTACTAGAAATACTCCATGTATTTATTGATATTATTAGCAAATATATTTTGTTATATCAGGCGCAGTCGTGATATGTTGCTTTCATTTCGTTTTGAATTTTGGCACACCGAACAAATACGTTGCTAAATTAAATTAACATGGCTTATTTCTCTCTGAATTTTCTGACAAGATAAATAAGCATATCTTGATTTTAGCTGCACCTTAGTAACTTGCCCATGTAATAACCTCAGCGTAGTATGTAGTTAACTGCTATATAACTGTATCGAATATTCTTAAATAAAGTGTGTGCGTATGGTTCACTGTCCTGGATTATTAATACTTATCATAGAGGGGTTGCACATAGTAAGTAAGTCGCTTGCATGCCAACTCATGGGGATAGAAGCCTTGGAGATTATCGGGACCCCAAAAGCAAACAAAGCCATAGCCAGTAAACTTCTACTACGACTTTGTTTCTGTCTATGGACTGTTGTTCTCTATCTTCGTTCATTTTTTTTTTGTCTGACCTATGCAAAAGTTTTAAGGTTTCACTAGTATATCAATGCACTACTCAGCTTGTAGAATTGTAACCCATGTAGTGATAAACTTTTAAACACCTTACCATTTTTAAATAAAATTGACTCTTTTCTATAATATTAGAAAGTTATTTCCCATCTACTTGTACACCATCTGGTTCCTCGGTCTTTTCTTTCAATAAGTCATATTTAGGTCTTTTACGAATTTGCTTTAAATTTATCGTTTTTCTCTTACTATCAGTATTTTATTCTTCTCTCCAAAACAGGGGTCCTGACTGGCCTAGTGGTCTAGAGCGCTCACCGTCACGGATCACTGCAATCCTCTGTCTTCATGGATTTGAGTCTCGAGCTAAATCAAAATAAATGTATTTAATAGTCGGTATACTACCATTTACGAGACTGATAAAGCTAAATCAAAAATAAACGTTTGTAATTACCTTAAAATGAGCGATTCCATTCTTTACCCAGCCCACCACAACATCAGCAGGGTACATGTTACCGTTGTCTGACAAGCCGAACCCGACGTAACCGTAGGTTTTCACGTGAACTTCAAATGTTATGTGAGTATCGTTCAACTTCCAAAAGAGGAGATAGTTACCGTTGTTGTCCATCTGTACAGAGTAATTAAAGGCTTCGATGTGAGTAATCCCCCCATAGCTTCTGGTCACTGTAATACACAATACAATGAACAATTTAACAAGGAGACTTCGTGACATCCTGAATTTGAATGTCAGTGACTACTAGGATTTAATATACCTGTTTTACAAGATAATGAACCGCTAGTGGAAGGTTTATTTAATCAGTAGCAGTACTATTTACATTTGATAAACGCGCTACCTCAAGATAAAGATAATAAGATGCAAATTATTTGTCAGTTAAACTTGTTGAATTAGCCATATGATGTCTAGGTGAAACATATTTCTGACTAAATTTACATCAAGAGTTGTACAACCTATTTAAATAACCCAAAATAATTACTTCTTCTAGTAAAGACAATGATTTGGTCAAATTGTTTATTTCTGTTTTTGTTTTTTATGTTTTTCCGTTCTTTATCTGGGTTTGTGACGGTGCATTTACTCTTACCTGCTGTTATTTTCTTTGTCATTTTATTGTTATCGATGATGATTATGTTTATGTTTTGATTTCGCTATGATTCGTTTTCAGTCCTATAATTAAGCCATTACAAGCTCTATTTTTTTAATCGTTTATGATCTCTTGCATATGTACTCTAAGTGACCTTGCTAGTGGATGAGATGTCAATCAAATATATGATTTGAACACTTAGTGAAGCATCAGACGAAACGTAACATTATATTTTTTTGGTGATTTCAATGTATATTATCTAAATGCGTTACCACCTGATGTGTCCAAAATAGTAGCCGTGAAAAAAAATATCTCAAAATACTCCCCTCTCCGAAAAATCAGGTTCAACATAGATAATGACTGAATCAGTCCCAGTCTCACGTGTCAGTTCTCTCCCGTGATTCTCGAGATCGAATGCGCAAGACTGACTAGGGCGTGCTTTATAGTGAGAGTACCAGTCATCATGGCGCTAGTTGCATCGTTCTAGATGCACATATGAAAGTCAGTTGTACTTTTAGGAGAAATGTTGGCATTGCAAAGCAGCACTTTTTGATTATGTAATATTGTTGTATAAAAAGCAAATTGGATTTAAACGTTTGATCAGACATGTGACATGTTTACACACTCTTCTAAATCTTGATAAAAGATGTACTCCAATAAAAGAGGTCACGATTAGGCCTCATGATATTATTCATACGATGATCGTAAGACGAAATTTAACCATACGTGACAAATTTCACTATTTACTCAACGTGATTTATGTCACAGTACTCAACCAACTGACTTACTATCTATCGTATGAAAACTGCATAGACGTGTAAAAAGTAAAGCAAATATATATATATATATATATATATATATATATATATATATATATATATATATATATATATATATATATATATATATATATATATAACTGTTCACTTGTCTAATTCCATATTCGTTAAGTAAAACCAAACATCACGTGTTTAAAACAAAAACATGTCATAATCTAAAGTATCAAACTTAAATTAATAAAATCAAATACATCATGTAATAATTAAAGAATATTACAAGAGATTTTACTTCAAACGAATCAAAAGCTGCAAGCCATCACTGGCAAAGGATTGCACTTATTCCAATATTTTTTCAAGTTTCATTTTAAATGAGATGTATGTTTTCTTGTCCTATATAAATAGCAAAAGTTTCAAGCTGCAATGTATCGTTTTCGTTGCTATAAGATAAGACTGTTCCAGTGGCCTAGTGGTTAGAGCGTCCGCCTCTGATGCGGGAGGTTGTGGGTTAGATCCACAGCTAAGTCGTACCAAGGACATATAAAAATAATACTAACAGCTGCCTCGCTTGGCGCTCAGTTTTGAATGGTTAGTGTTAGGAATGGTTGTCCTGGTATCAGGATAATGTGACTGGGTGGGACATGATGCTACATGTTTGTGGCATGATTCCCCAGTGCTAGACATCATTATAAACTGTCACACCGCAGACAATATAGCGATATGACTAAAAAAAATTGTTAAAGCTACGTTAAAACATAATCACACCCCCCCACCCCCACCCCCACCCCACACCCCCACCCCCACACACTACAAGATGAAATATATATGGTAATTAAAAAGCAAAGACAATATATTTCGGACAGGTAATACGGTATCAACTTATATGATCTATCCTGAAAAGTTCATTTTTCTTGCTACCCTCAATCAAATTATTACTTATTTGTGACATTATGCTAATGCCAATTTTGACTTCAATACAAATTGCTTAATTTGAAATGAGTTACAGCGCATATTGTGTCAGTGATGTCATGCGGTAGTACTACTCTTGAAATAAAAAATATAGATACAATGAGACGAAAAATTATAGAAAATATAATTCAAAGCACATGGCAAAAGTTGCGACAAGAAAATATAGAGTTCTTCAATGCTGCATTTGATTTGCAGAAAGTTTAAATTTTTACTTCTATTGCTTGCAGTGGGAATGCTGACTAATGAAATATACTAACCCCGAGAAGAAAAAAAAGCAATCTTAAAAGTTGGAAATTGTATGGGTAAACCAAGTTATTATTAAAGGTTATTTTCTAATATTCTGAAATTCATTAGTCATCTATATAGATACATCAAAATGGATACATTCTACCAAAAGGATGCAGTGATTATATATAATTTACCCGCGGACCTTGGTTCGAATCTCGTAGTGTACGAATTGAAAATTCTCTAACCTGCATGACATTATTTGTATTAAATATTAATTCTGCCTAAAATTATCACGCATTCTCCTGTAGAATCCAGGAATAGCACGTTTCTATCTGTTTGGATTATATATATATATATATATATATATATATATATATATATATATATATATATATATATATATATATATATATATATATATATATATATATATATATATATATGTATGTGTGTGTGTGTGTGTGATGTGTGTGTGATGTGTGTGTGTGTGTGTTTTGTCTGAATCGGAAGCTGAGCATTCAGTAATATAACTCAAATGGACCATTGAACACGTTTGTTTAATGATTATAGCCTTGTATGGGTTCGCGAGTCTATCTTGTGTTGGAAAATCGATATTTAATTATAGGCGTGGAGCCTATTGCAGATTTTCAAAACAACCTGGAGGAATATAATAACAAATGTGAAAATAGCATATCATTTTGTAATGATCGTTTAATAATGTACTTTATGTTGCTTTTAATAACTCATTAAGATCTTTTATTTTCAACAATGTGCGCAAGCTGATATCTGTTATTTATCGCAAGACAATCATAGATACATTTGGCCTGATATCAATAATTTAATAAGGTATTGTAAAAACTAAGGTGAAATTTAAGCAGATTCAAAATAATACACGCCACTGAAAAAAAATTAAATACAATTACAGCCTGATGAAGACTGCTATTATTGTTTTCATTATTATTATTATTATTATTATTATTATTATTATTATTATTATTATTATTATTATTATTATTATTATTATTATTATTATTATTATTATTATTAGTGTTGTTTAGTTGTGTGGCACATGCTATTTATGCTATCGTCATTATAACTGATGCTTTAAGCTACTTGTTCTGTATTATTCCCATGTTACGTATATTTAATTTAATTCCTTGTTTGCTAGTTTTCTTGTTTCTAAATTTCGTTTAATACTATTTTATTGTAAGATTGTATGCTGGCCTTGTCCAAAATGGAGTTCATTTCTGCTTGACGTTTTATTATTTCATTTTATGTAAACAACTATTATATACCTAAAATGTTATCTCTGTTTATAGGCCTAATATCAAGATTATTATTAATAATAACAGTAAATGTTTTTTTTTGGGTCTAAGTTGTGGAATTTCCTGAGTATAATCCAAGTTATTGTTTTGATTTTGCAAACATCAGGATCATTCTAAAAGGTTTTTCCCCCATTAAATAATGTATTTCTATATAGAAAATGCTAATTTTGTTTTGAGGTCAATAAGAGAACTATATGATCTTGGTCATCCGTGCTTTAACATCTAGCACTTTCAGGTTGTATTATATTGTGACCAGTTGGGCTGAATATTTTATCTTGTTCAGTTTATTGAATTCAAGTGATTATTTTCTTTGGAAATACAAAAATGATCGGAATTTTTTTTGGATAAAGACATTCACTGTAATTTCTACTGATTTAAAACCTGTAACTATACTACTGTGATTCAACAAAACACTGCTGACATAACAATACTCTATAGGCTATTACAGACACGTCATCGCCTTTAGTTTTTGGATATCTTCGGAAGTTTACTGAGTTTTCTTCAGGATTTTAAATTATTAGAACTTGTGTCTGTAATTATTAGATTACTTTGGTAATTAATTCGTAATACCGAAAGTTCTATTTCTTAATTTCACCTTTGTTATCTAGAACAAAAAATAAAAAATACCTGTCAAGTTTTACAAAGCTTGATGTCTTTCATTATTTCTGTTACTTATTTTAAGAACATATGCTCGTAACACAATTTATAGACAGACGGGTTACATTCAGACAAAATATCCTTTGACATAAAACAAATTTGTATGAGGTATGTGGACAAGGTAAAATGTAATGCTAAAAATGTCCATAGGATTAAAATTATGGGCATGGAAAATGAAATGTAAAAGGCACACAAATGTACTGACCATAAGTTATAAGTATTGGCCAGTGCATTAGTATTTTTTCCTACCTAAATCCACTTTTCTGTTTTTAAAACATCTATCTTTTTCTTGTAGAATATATCCGACGTTCCCAACACTTGATCAAACGTGGCAATTTCTTTTTGAGGTGTCACTTTTTCTCGAGAGCATCCGTTACTGCGGTAATTGATTGTAATGGTAAAACATTTAGTTTGCTGATCGATAAATATTTTCACACATGTTCTTTAAGGGATTTTGAAAACGTTTCACAACACTGGCTACGGCCTCAGGATTTCAGAACTGAAGAATGAATGCATCTTTTTCTGGAATGCTTGGATGCAAAACACTTGTACCAGTAATCTTTAAGAGTGCAATCTTCATCTGTACAGTTATATGAAATATGATATTGTTTATATTTCGTGATCTATATTATATGATAGAATTGCTTGGTATATTGATATTCCAGTATTTATTCTAAATGACACAGATATTTAGACCTTATTTATTTAACGCCATGCTATTAAATTATTGTTTGTTTCAAGTTAGTCATTTTATAACTGAATAGAAGAATTCAATTCATCATACACTGGATTTATTGAAGGATGCGTAAATGTTCGAACTCTAATAATACAGTGAGATTATTGTTGTCTCATACCGATTCATGTACGAACCTGTTTATTGTGATAATAAGCTTGTATAGTACTTCTAAGGAAATGTTTTAATATGTGACAATGAATTTTTAGGTTCGTACTTGTGTAGCGTATATTGTTGCATTTGTACTTAGCCGCATCTAGTGTACTAAACTGCTCTGGTCAGTATATATTTAGCTGATTTTCGATTGGGATATGACAAAACTAAGTGTGGCTTCGCATAGCCTGTGTGATGCTGTCGGCGACGACCTTGTTTCAGAGGACCAAAGCGGTTTTCTTTCGATGAGGGACCAACGCCTCGGGAACGCGTCTGCAGCAAATAATAGGGCTCATGAGCGGTCCTTCGTCAGACTGCTACTTAAGGTATTGTGCTGAAAAGTGTATTTTATTCCAGAAAAATGAGATGGGTCTCCTCTAGTTGAAATAGAATAACTTTAAATCCATTGTGTTCAGGTATATTTTATATAAAAAAATATTTTTAAAAGCAAGATGAGAAAAGTCACATGTAACGTAAACATTAACCAAACCTTATAAAGAATTATTAAAATGGAAAGAAGAGGCGGAAGCTTCACACCTACCATTCAGAACTGCAGCTCCACTATTACGGGCTCTAATTCCAACAAACCACGAGGCATTTGGCAAACTTTGATGTCAAGAAGAAGGTTAGGATCAGTATAATTTTGTCAAAGATTTTGCATGGGCAGATTTGTTCGTCTAGGTGTTACATACCTATGTACCAACATCGGATTTCACTCAGACATTGATGTATTGTGTGTTGTTATACTTCTTTTTCCAGGGTGCGCCAAAATTAAATGACTCCGCATGCAGTATCATCTGCGTATTTGCTGAATATATGCAATCTTTCTATATTCGTCAATCGCTAAAAAAGAGGAAGTCTCTAAGTAGAGAAAGAAAACGTTTTCTCTTCCCCTAATACATCTTTCTTATGCAGAGTGATAGACGTAAATGTTGCGTTAGTAAAGTGACTTTTCAACTCATCTGCTCTACATTTAATGATGTGTATTTTCATTTGGGTTTAACTAAATACGATTCACAATCCGTATAATTTGATGTATTGCTTTCTAGTCATTGGGTAGTTACTTTATTATTTATTGAGTACGTATGCTCTGTTAAATGACTCGCAAAAGTGGTTATTTCTCAACAGATGTTTGAAGATGGCTCTCGTGTGAGCCGTTGATGTCCATCGACTGTTTTACATTAGCTTATCTTGAATGCGACTGGCTGTATGAAAGTATTAAGTTGAACCAACGTACATATCGGCGCCTTTTCTAGTGGAACCTTTATATTAGAAAATAAATCATATATATTTGTTTCTTGCTTCACTTTTTTTCTTCTTAGTATCAACGTTTGCTGCACCCATCTGGTGTATTCAAGCCGTCGCCCTTCGGGTTCTGGCATCAAGCTACCTCCTTGGGAATCGGAAAACGTAAATACCAGAACAAATAAATATGACCTCAAAAATTATGTTGCTTTTCCATG